CACACACTCTTCAAACCGTTGTTGTTTTTGGTCTGGTGTGGAAAAACACGGCCCCATTTGGAAAACAACTTGCTCATACCCAAATGTTCGTGTTTAATAGTGAAAACGCTATTATTTGATAATTTATGAGCGGCAGCTATCTCTTGCAACTTCACTTCGCGGATTCCCATAATTTCGCGGATTTTCAGATTCTCTTCGATGTTTTGAGAATAACTGCTTCACTTGGCCGTGTTTGAATTCAGCAAACCATCGTTTAGTGGTTGTAATTGATGGAGCAGAGTCCCAGTAACATTTTTGAGCCATTGTTTAGTTTGGACGGAATTTTTTCCCATCAAATAACAGTGATAAATCAACATACAAAATTAGCATCATTTCAAGCACTTGAAATTTTGACAGCAAGCTGTCGTACCGGACTAAGTGCTATGCTGGATAAATGATTGCAAATACCACTTCCGTACGCTGTTATTCAATTTCGTCCTGAAAAGGACGAAATCTATTTATTGTACATCGACAATAGGTAATAAGGTTGAATAAAATCACAAAGGTTGCAGTAGAAAAGAGGCTCAGAGTCTGAGAAAACTTAAGCATCGCCCCTAGAGCGAAGTGCTCTAGGAGAGCCCATGAGGAGCCGACTTCGACTGACTTGAGATCCGAATAATCCCATATTTAAAGACAATTTAATATTTATATGAGATTTTCGGACCTCTCGTCCAATAAAAACATGAATAAAGTATGAGAAGGCGGGCGATGCGCGCCAAGGTGCGTATTAGTTGGTCACTACATGCACCAGGGCGACAAAGCCTTTGAGGGTTGGCACTATCGAAATTCCGTGTCAGTAATTCATTAGAGTCGCCATCTCTCGGTTAGGTCCAGAACTTATTGACCGACGTATGTGGCCACAGAAAAAATTGGATGAAATATACAACACCAAAATGAGAACTACTAGTAAATATTTAGGAATCAAGACTATTCCCAAATGGTCAGAAAGTAGTCCTGATGCCTTCTTTGCGATGGAATCCTAACCTGTCTTGACTATATTTAAGAAAGGCATTAGCCTTTCTTAGTAGGCAGTAGTATGAAGTAGTAAGCCTAGGATCGGAGTTGTGCATATGATGCATGTAGATGTGTAGAAGGATTTGGATGTCGATGGGTAATCTATAGGATTCTGTATTGGAGTCACTATTCTGAATAAGTGGCTCTTCTTCTTATGGTGCCCTATCCAATTAGTGGATGTTGGCAACAATTCTGGAATACTCCTCTCGATCTTGTGTGGCTGTAAAAAGTGCATGGGCATCGAGACTTGTCCAATCCCTTATGTTTTTAAGCCATGAGTATTTCTTTCTTCCGATGCCTCGTTTTCCTTCTATCTTCCCTTCCATAATAAGCTTTAAGAACTGGTACTTGGAATTTCGAAATATATGACCCAGATAAGCAGTTTTTCTTCTTTTTATTATTGGCAGCAATTCTCGTTCTCTGCCCATTCTATTTAATACTTCGACATTTGTTGTGTGATCTGTCCAGCGCATTGGTTCTGGAAGGTGGAAATGTTCATCTTTGAGCTAGTGTGTCAAAGAAATATAAATTCTTTTAGACAAGAGTGATGGTTTTCTGTACACTGTATGACCTAATTAACTATTCGGCCGACAAGTGACAAACACGTGGAGAAAGGGAGGGACCAATTATTTCCTACATCCATTGTAAATTTTATACTTGTGTTCAGATGATCGAAAAATAAAGTACGAATGTTTTGCCTGTGAGACCAGTGATAAATGTTTTAACATGTAGTCATACTTTCGATGTAAGGGGTTTAAGGGCTTGAGGTTCTAGATACTTGCTTAATATTAAGTTATCTCTACAAGAAAATTAAGTAGATCAGTATTTATGAGCCCGACCCAAACACTTGTTTTTATTGGCCAGATGATACCGTTCTTTGTGTGCCGTGCTTGTTTTCAAGTGTTGGCTATCGTCGTATTAACAAGCTGATTAAATGTTTCTTGATCGGCCGCTATATGAAACAAATCCTCGACCTGTCCATTGTCTAATGTTATCCAGCCAGGACATTTACTTTCTTCCGACCCAGCGTTTTTCTTCGATTTTGCCCTGAATGATCAACCGGAGTAAGCGATATTAAGGTCCTCTCATAATATGACCGAAGTATTGGACCTTTCAAATACAGATAATACCTTAGAGCATCGAAATAATCTGAACTCACAAAAATATCTTCTATTATAAGTGAAATCAAGCTAATCAGATGTGCAATTGCTAATATAAGAAGAAGTGCGACCAGTATATTATTTAAATCTGTTTGGTAAGTATTTTGTGGGTTTGTATGCTGGTGAGTTAATGGCATTGGCAATTGGACGAAGGGGTATGATTTTGGAAATTAAGCAGGATTTTTTGGAGCTGCCTATTAGGTAACTTATGGTCCGTTATATTAAAAAAATGTTGCCATTAAAATTTAATTTGGGGTTAAGATTGGTCGTGTTGACGTTGATTGTTTTATATACAATTTTTTTAGGCATCTCCTAATTCTCGACATTCATCCCTGTTGTTTGTAAGACGTTTCCACATTGGTTCTTTAGTTCTTTTAATATCGTCGCTCCAGCGCATTTGCGGTCTTCCTCGTTGTCTTTTGGCTTCATATTGCCGCCAATTCCCGATTTCTTTATTCCATGGGCCATTCTTAAGCCGTTCGTTATGTCCAGCCCATTTCAGTTTAGCTGCCTTATCGACAGCATCTTTTACTTTTTTTTTTTGAGTGAGATACTAGCATCTGTCGTTCCATAGCTCTCTCTGATCTTCTCCATGTTTATTTTAGTGAATGTCCAGGTTTGAGCTCCATATGTAAGTACAGGTAGGATACAGGAATTACAACATTTTGGGTCGCAGTCTTTTTATAGGTATATTTTTATTTTTAAGTACGTATGAGAATCTTCCGAATGCTGCTCATCCCATTCTTACACGTCTGCTTATTTCGGTAGTCTGATTGTCTTTGCTTGCCTTAACATTTTGACCCAGATATGTATATTCCTCTACGTGTTCTATCTCTGTCCCTTAGATGTTTATCATAGGTTTGTCATCTTTGTTTGACTTTAGTTTTGTTGAAATTCATTTTCAGTCCTTTTTTAGGGATTCTGTGTGTAGCTCCTCAATCATCGTATTCAGTGCATTCCGGGTGTCGGCTATTAGTACTACGTCATCTGCGTATCTAAGATGTGCGATTCAAGTATCTTCCGTTAATAGGGATTCCCTTATTTTCCCAGTCTATTGACTTAAAGATATCTTCTAGGGCAGCTGTAAATAATTTTGGAGATATTGTGTCTCCTTGTCTTACGCCTCGGTTGATTTTTACTGGTCTCGTTTCGATTTCATTACCCAATGTCACTATCATTTCAGCTTTTTAGTAAATATTATGTATTAATATTCTGTACCTGGAGTCGATCCGGTTGTTGACTAATGCTTTTTCTATTACCCACTGTTCTACGCCATCAAAAGCTTTTTCATAATCTATAAAAGACAGACATAGTGGGAGATTGTATTCGTTAGCGTTTTCGATTAGGATTTTCAAAGTATATAGATGATCTATAATTTTTCAGGTCTGTGGTGTCTCCCTTTTTGTGTATTAGTATTGTTTTAACAGTATTAAATTGTTCGGGTATGTTGCATTCAAATAGACATTTATTAAATAAAATTTCACGAGGAAACTAAGTTCCTGTAGCTGGCTGTATACCATATATCACAAAAAAATTTTGTTAAAATCCTTTATAAAAGGTATATAAAAATGCCTCAAACGGGCTATCACAAACACATTGCAAAACGTTTTCGGATTAAACAATCCATCATCAGTGCAAACGGTTGTACATGCTAGTAGCCACCAAAATATATGGGTAAAAACTAATAATGTAAAACAACTTCAAATTTATATAACATTTAAAGGGTTTTTACCCCTATTATTTGGTGGCTACTAGCATGTACAACCGTTTGCACTGATGATGGATTGTTTAATCCGAAAACGTTTTGAAATGTGTTTGTGATAGCCCGTTTGAGGCATTTTTATATACCTTTTATAAAGGATTTTAACGAATTTTTTTTTATTTATTAAATAGTATTTTTAGATATGTGATGGCTTCTTCTCCGCCTTTCTTCAGCATTTCTGCTAGGATTCCATCGCTTCCAGGAGCTTTATTTCTTATTTCTTCGTGGCTTATTTCGAGCATCACTTATGAGTTGACAATGTATACAAATAAGTATATCATAAATTTAAATTAAGTGGAATTTTTTAGAAGTGCGAATTATTCGCTGGGCAATATTAAAGGTAGTTGGTTTGGCAGTAGTTAGACATATAGCAATATCGAAACGGCTCGAACTTTGGGAATCGTTCGGACGAGGATGAGATGAAAAAACGAAAGATGGTTTTTTTATTAGAAACAAGGGATTGGAATTTTTTTTATCAGATTTGAATGTAATCTATCTATCTCTTTCTTAAGTTGTAACAAGTGTTATCTTATGTGGCAGAATATACTTTTATTTTTACTCCCTGAATTTTGACTACGTATTAAGGTAGATAAATCCCCAGTAGTTTCTACATTTGATATCAGTACTACCACATACTTTCGAGTAAACATTTATCTAAAATTGTCCAAATTCTCTATGTTTACAAATTTCTACTGGACTAATAGGTAAATTTATTAAAAATTTTCAATAACACTTTGCCAGCACTTTCCATAGTAAGAATATTTATACTAATTATTTAAAAAATTTGGTAGTTTATGATAATTATTAATTTAGTTTACTTAGGTAATTGATACCAGCTGTAAAATAATGAGTTAAATGATCAGCTGTTTAGCATTTAATATGCAATGAGCCAAAAATAAGTGTTCATTGTGAGATTTAATTAATATTCGTACTTTCAATTTGTTTACTTCTTAATTATAAACTGTATCTTTAAGAAATTAAATTTATTTTTTAAACAGGTATAATACAAACACCAGAAGCTTTTTATTTTTTTTTATTAAATATACAAATACTTATAATACAAATGTCAAAGACTTGTCTTGATTGCGTTCGAATCTTTTTCTTTTAGATTTTCTCTAATCCATGTCGCACACTGGTTTAAATTTTTTCGGTAGTCTTCATTTTGGATTATATATTCTAAATAAATAAAATAAAATTAAAATAATCATGTAAGTATTGCAACTAAAATAAATAACGATCAAGTATATGCAATATCTAAGTTTTATTGGAACAGAAAGTACAAAAAATAATGACAATAATGCGCTACCACTACAGAATTGAGGATTATATTGCTGATGCTGCACTCAAAACTTATTTAATTTATTTTATAACCAGGCTTTTACATAAGATCCTTCGGTCTCCAGCGGCTGAATGCCGAAAATGGTCACCATTATGTTTTTAGTTAATAATGATGATTCTCTAATATTAATTCATATACGCTGCGATTGGCGATGGTAATACATTTGTATTTTATTTTTTTAATACTAGAATATTCCCCAAGTTTTTAAATACTTTGTACGATATCGTGAGATAAAGCAGTTGCAACGGCTCATAAACCTTGCTAGTTTTAGGTACACTATCTCCTTGGAGATTGTAGAGTAATTCTTCTTTGAATTTCAATAATAATATCTTTGGTATCAGATGGGTCAGGTTTTTCCTGCAGGTTACGATTTGTAACATTCAGTTGCTCCAAAAAATTTGAAGAATTCAACAAGATAGTACTTTCTAGGATTCTAGGTAGGAACACTGAGAGAAAAGGGTTGATGTGTTGTGGAAAGGAAAGGAAAAAAACATGCCCAATGCGTGAAGGGAGTGCGTGATGGTATCACTGTATAAAAAGAAAGGGGACATTCAAGGCGGTAAGACCTATCATCACCCAGCCCTTTGCGTCCACTGCTGGACATAGGCCTCCCTCATTTTTGTCCATTGTGCTCTATCTTGACCACTTTTCATCCAATTTCTTGACATTTTTTCGAGATCGTCAGTCCAACGAGCAGGGAGTTTTCCTCTACTTATTTTGCCTAACTTCGGCCCCCACTCAAGCAATCTCTTTGTCCACCTTTCATCACTGATTCGGGCGACGTGTCCGGCCCAGTTCTATTTCAGTGTGGCAATCGGTAACTCATGTTTTTCGTCTTAAGTCTTCATTTCTAACTCGGTCACGAAGCAATATACTCAGCATTGACCTTCCATTTTCCTCTGAGCTATTTGCAGCGTTTTAGAACGTGTAGCTGTCAATGTCAAAGTTTCGCCATCATAGTTCATCACAGGCAACACACATTGGTCAAATGTTTTACGTTTTAAAGAAATTGGTATATCCCTTTTAAAGATGTCTTTGAGTTTTCCATAGGCTGCCCATGCTAGGTTTATTAGTTTTTCGTAGTTCGCATGTTTGGTTGTCTCTTGTGATCATTATTTCGTGTCCAAGATTATGTATTTTTCCACCAGTTCTACTTCGTTGTCTCCAATATTGATATTTGCGCTAGGTACTTGGTTTGTCATAAATTTTAAGACCCACACTGGCACACACTAACTGAAGTTCATGTAGCATTGTACATATCTCCTTGAAGTTGTCCAAAAACAAAACTATGTCGTCTGCGAATTTCAAATTTGTCAATCTTTTACCGTCAATGTTCAGGCCTTTCTCTTCCCAGTTACGTTTTTTACAAGCATATTCTAGTACTGCGGTAAACAGTTTAGGCGATAAGGTATAAGGACTCCTCTGTCGATTGGGATATGATCCATCTTTTCATGTAGTTTCACACACATAGTTGCGTTCTTGTATGTATTGTAAATTAACCTTGTATATCGGTAGTAAATGCGGCATGCTTGTAGTGCTTCCAGGGTTCTGTCAAATAAGGTAAGAACTTTAGAGGAATAAAATTAATCTCGCGCACAATAAAAATATGGGAGAGAACTGTAGAGCGAAGGTTAAGGAGAGGATTTCCAATAGTGAAAGTATTAGTATACACTTACGATTATCGCATGATTCTGGTTTTCTTAATTTAGGCGTTTTTTGATAGTTTGTTTCAGAAAATCTTCTCTTTAGGAATTTCTGGAAATAAAAAAAATATTAGAAAGCTGCATAATTACATAAAATATGACAATTCTCAACTATTAAACAAATAATTGTGCATTTGTAGGACATTCTTCTATTCTGCATATCAAAGTTCATTTGATAGTTTTCTAATTGTTTTCTTATGAAGTTAACGAGTTCTCTAAGGGCTACATTTCTTGTTGAGTTTGTAATAAACCTTTTCTAAATTTTCAACTAATTTCTAACTAATATTAAAAAAATACTAAAAAATCTTATGTGTTGATAACTTTTTGTTCCCATAATATCATTCACTTTTTGCTGTAAAGGGTCAAACTACTTTTTTTGCTTATTTTGTTGAGACATTTTAAGTATTGATCGTTAATTCAAATATAAAACTGCCATATTATGTATGTACCTTTGATCGTTACTCCATACAACGGTTATTTGCAATTTCCTTTATATTTCTACAGAGTATATTTAGGTGAAAACAAACTTCTCCTAAGGAATTAACCCAATCTAGAGGGAATAAAACGAATAATCAATGTGCATCGACAAGTTAAGATCAATCTCTAAAGGTCATTTCAGATAACAAAATTCATAAGTATACACTTAATACGTTGTACCCACCAAGACCTAAAGCTTTGAAACCTGGTTTCTTACAAAAGCCAATATAAAAAACCTGAAAGTAGTCTTAAAATAAGACCGAAAGGCGGAAAAGCAAAGCCGTGGATTCGCAATATGACAAAAGTTCAAGAGGTACAAAATCACATAGTTGCGTTAAAATCTAGATAGATAGGCCATTTAATCAGAACAGAAGACAAAATATTGAGCAAAGAGGTTATTATCTAGAGACAGAACAAGCAGAAGGAACTGGGGGAAGTGCAGGATGGCGAGATGACATAACCAAAGTTACCGGAATATATTGGATGAGGAGAACGTTACTCGGTCGAATGCTAGAAAATGAATAAGTACTAATGGGCGAAAGGATAAAGAAAAAGTATAATTGGTAATAAGCTAAGCAAAGTTATAAGATGCAGAACTGAACAACATAACATACCCAGATATTGGTCTATGCAGATTTGGACCTTATCGCACGCATAACCCGTAACTCCAAGGAGATTTCGCTGACCTCTCAAATGTAGCAGATTATATGGGTCTAATGATCAACGAAAGCAAGACACAGCTCGTGGTGCCAGGGAGAAACTACAGAATAGGAAACATGGGACAAAACTATAACATTGGTAACTATAATTTTGAAGTGCTGCAACAGTTCTTACCTGGGAAGCATGAAAAGCAGCAAGCACATAATATCAGAATAAATAAACCAACTATCGTTTGCAAAAAAGTTATTATTGACTTATCAAACACCTTAAAAACCATTGCCTAACAAAAAAAAAACAAAGATAAAGGTACAGAGAACCTTAATGGTCCCAATCCTAACGTATGCATTTAAAATATGCGTGCTTTCACATAAAGAAAAAACAGACTATTAATATTCGAGAGAAAAATACTCCCAATTAATGATAATGGAACTTAGCGTCATCGATATAATTTTGAGCTATAAAATAAATATAAAAGCCGAAGACCATAATGTAGTAGCTGTAATAAAAATTAGATGCGTGAAGTAGATAGAACATTTGGAAGAGCAAATGACAGCTACCGTGCAGGATGCTTAGTGAATTCCAAGGAAACTATACGAAAGATCAAGGAGACATATGGATGGTTAGATAAGAATACCAGGAAAATCGGTGTAGCAAACTAGCAGCTGCAAACAATAAGACCAAATGAAGAAATAGCCTTGTGAAGGTTGAGGCTCAGCTAGGGCCATAGCACCGATGATGATGATGATAATAACTAACAAATATCATTAGATAAAATACTGGTGCTCTGTCACTGGGAAGATTTTTCTCATTGGAGTTTCTTAGTATTTATTTACTTATGTTGACACCTATGTCAAATTGACGAGATTAATAAAAACCTTCTCGCAGCAGGACTACAGGTCGCAAAGAAAACAAGGACTAAAGAAGACAAAATAAGCAATGAAACTAAACAGCTAATGACGGAAAGAAGACAACTACTAGCGCAAAACAAGCGCCATACTCAAGAATATAGAGAACTTAATAAAATAATTAGAAAAGAACTAAAACGCGACATACAAAAATGGAACGAGAACTTAATAGAGCGAGTCATTGAAAACAACAGAGGCTTAAAATGTCTAAGACCCGCACTGGGAGTTCAAAAAATCATCAAAATTAAAGACGCTAACAATAAGGTAGAGAAGGACAAATATAAAATAACAAATATTGTCGAAGACTTCTACACATCCTTGTACAGCTCGCAAGGCCAGACTAATGAAACAACAAAGGAGAACGTCAAAAGAAAAATAAAAAACGTGGGATCAGAAGTACTACCACATATAAAGGGATACGAAATAGAAAGAGCTTTAAAAGAACTAAAAAATAATAAAGCTCCAGGACACGACGGTATAATTGCCGAGCTCTTGAAAACAAGCAAGACATTAACAATCCATTATTAACAAGCAAGACATTTAATAGATGTCTCCATAATAGCCAGATCCCTAAAGACTGGAACGAGAGTCTAGTAATACTCTTACACAAAAAAGGGGACAGATGTGATCTACAGAATTATAGACCTATATCGTTGCTCAGTCAATTATAAAAACTATTTATAAGAATTATTAATAACCGGTTTACGTACAAAATGGATAATTATCAACCGGTTGAACAGGCTGACTTCCGCAAATGATATAGTACATCAGACCATCTGCTGACAATGAGAACATTGTTAGAGAAGGCAAATGAATACCAACTACCCGTATTTCTTGCCTTCGTCGACTATGAAAAGGCGTTTGATAGTATCGAGATGTGGGCCATAGAACAAGCTATTAAGAAGAATAGACTCGAGATATAGGCAACTAATAAATAATATATATGAAAATGTAACTATGATAGTACAACTAGACGAAAATACAAATCCCATCCCCATTAAGAGAGAAGTGAGACAAGGACACGTAATATCGCCAAAGCTTTTCAACCTAGCCCTAGAAGACGTCTTCAAAACTACAAATTGGTCAACCTATGGCATTAACGTTAATGGCAACAAGTTAAATCACCTCAGATTCGCTGACGACATAGTGATTATAGCGAGTACATTCGAGGAACTGCAAATTATGTTGGGGGAACTAGCAGCCAGCTCCCAATACGTCGGCCTAAAAATGAATATGAAAAAAACAAAAATAATGTCAAACACAGAAGACCCCAGACATATAACTATAAACGGCGGTGAGATAGAACAAACCCAGGAATATATCTACCTAGGCCAAATCCTGAGACTTGACAAAGAGAACCAAAGTGCGGAAATTACTAGAAGAGCAAGACTAGCATGGGCAGGATTTGGAAAACTTAGTTGGATACTTAAGAACCGCAAAATACCCCAATACTTGAGGAGCAAAGTGAATAAACTAAAGTGAACATGAATAAACTAGCCACAACAGAAAGAACAATGGAAAGAGGAATGTTAGGTATACGACTGTCAGATAAAAAGAGGAACGACTGGGTAAGATCCAAAACAAAAGTCGAGGACATAACAATAAAAAAATTGCAAAACTTAAATGGAGCTTTGCGGGCCACACTGCTAGACAGAAAGACCAACGTTGGAATACTACAATACAACATCGGAGACCTTACGAAAGTAAACGACCAAGAGGAAGACCACAGATGAGATGGGTTGATGACATTAAAAGAATAGCCGGAACAAATTTGAAATATGTTGCTCAGGATAGAGATCGATGGAAGGAGTTGGGAGAGGCCTATGTCCAAACATGGACGACAGAAGGCTAAGAAGAAGAAGAAGAAGTTCACACCTAATTTCTGTCGTAAATTTAATGCTTTCAGTGTTTCATTTATAAATTGAAATTTCAATAAATAGACTGAATCTAGCATCTAAAATGTAGTTTGGAGGATACTAATATATAATACATATTATTTCAATTCAAACGAACCTTTTTTTTATAAAAGTCTTACCCAGAAAAGTGTTGCTTCTTCAGTGTACTTATGACAAAAGAGGTTTTCTTTAAGGTGATCGTAAAATCCGTAGAAAAGTATCCACTTTCTCTTGTGTTCTGCTCCTAATCGTTCCATCAAGTGTATTACTATTTCACATTTGATTTTATTGAATCTAAACGAGTAATAGGCATCCGAAATAACCGTGTCTGTGGTAGAATAATCCATTAACTAAAACGAAGAAAAATGTTGATTTCGTTAATTATTAGTTAAGTGCTTTGTTACATATACAGGGTGTACCCGAAAATAGTGCGTTCCTTTAAGGAATGAATATAATACACAATTTGGAACAAAAAAGTCCTTCTAAACACTTTTTTAAACTCTAAACGTTTCCAAAAAAAAATTACATTGTTTTCCATATACATCGTAAATTTTTATTTTCAGAAAATTAAATAATCTGACATCGTGATACGCAGTGAAAGCGCTTCTGAATAAAATCTCGTTTGTGACTTAGGATATTTAACATACCAACTCAGGTTTAATTACTATTCAAGGTTGTTGACGTCTGAGGAAATGTAGGTAATATCTGCAAAATAATTATTTCTTGAGAAATGACTATTATTAGTCAAAATAATTATTAGTAGAAAGGGATATGGTTCACTCCACTTTGATCTTGGACCCCGCAACCCTCGCAACCTTGGATCGCAACCCTTGTGACCGCAGGGAACATTAATAAATTTACGCCTCGCTTCGATGACGTAATCGCATATAGGAATTAAATGATTTTGTAAATTATTTTTAATTAATCGTTGTTTGAATCATGTGTGTAAAAAGATGTAAGGTGGCAGCGTGTATTTAATTGCTTACATTCGATATGCCCTTTTGCGGAACATATTTTTATTAAAACTTGGCTGTTGAATATAAAAAACCGCAAACTCGAATACTTTAATAATATGGCATTTGCTATTATCTGAATTAATTAAGGTTTTGGATTAAAGTTTGGAGTTTTAAATAAATTATTATTTTTACTGAAGTAAGTACTATGGTTTAATTTCTAAACATTAATTAATGCAACTAAGAAAAATTATTTGTTTTTTTAAAATGTATTGAAATATAATTTTAAACGAATTGTTAAAATGTCAATTACAGTGGTACCTCGATATACAAGCGCCCTAACATACGAGTGTTTTGAGATACGAGCCGCGGAGCGAGCGATATTTTGCTTTGAGATCAGAGCAAGATTTGAGATACAAGGAATCGGTTTTTATTCAAATTCATTCTTCTTATTTGACTACTTCTAATTTGCTTTGTAAGTAAATGGTAGTTTGACTGGTATTAGATCTTTACGGCCTCGCCATAAAGATCATTTTACGGGTCTGTAAGTCAGTATTACGTGGACCGGTAAATTAAATGGTCACTGGAAGTTAAATCCGACAAAAATTCGGATTCTAATACTAACCGTATTGCACTTTCGATGCCGGTGTAATTTACACTGTGTAATTTTACTATAGACCTCAGTCTATATGTGAATATAGTGAAGCAGCAAGTTCGGAAGTGAAAGCAGCTGAGGTTTACATCAAAACGTTTTCCGAACTGATAGAAGCTAAAGATACATCCCCTAGCAAGTCTTCAACTGTGACGAGGCAGGGTTTTTCTGGACAAAGATGCCGAATGGGACTTACATAACGGCAGAGGAGAAGACGATACTCTCTCTTAACGGCACCTCTATTCACCGGACACCTCTATACGGATGGTTTTTAAAATTAAAATCAGTTGGCGATATATGAAATTGTATGTAAATTTTCGTTACTTTTTAATCTGTAACGACTCGGTACTTTAACTATCAATAGTTGGTATGTTATACCCGTTACTTTCGAAACTAGTACATCCACGCAAAGCAAACAAATATTTAAAACTAACAAAGTGAAATATTAGATCCTTTTTCTGGTTTTTGAACCATCGTTCTGCCAATTTCTTTTCATTTATATTAAAAATAGTATATTTCTTTTATTACAGTTGCAGTACCTAATAAAGTAATAAAATAGTGTAATATCAAAGAAACCCGGCATGCCTCTTTGGTGTTTACATTTCACGGAAACCCAACCCAAATGTATTATGAACACATTTTAGCTTTATAGACGTTATTGTATTTATTTGTAGGACCGTTTGCGTAAAAATTTTTGTTATTTTCGGATTAAATTTCACAATAAGTTTTGCGTCTATCTGAACATCTATTAACTGAAATAATTTTAGTTTAAGTGTTAAACTAACAGTAGATCCATTTTATTGGAATACTGTTTAAACCAATTTACTTTCAAACTTCTACTTGCACAGTAAAATATTCGTTGTCGCAATAATCCAAAACAGTCGTATATTCGTGGAATAACCTATAGATAAAAAACAGGTTGTAGATGAAAGGGCTTGTGAAGGACTGGAACCTGAAGTGTCAGTGGTAGATGAGATTGTTTCTCTTGGAAAATCCATGGGTCTGGAGGTGGATGAAAGAGATGTCAACGAACTTGTCGAGGGACAGTCTTAAGAGCTGACAACAGAGGAGTTAGACGAACTACATTCGCAGCAGCATAAGGTGGTTCAACGAAAAATTAGTTTTGAAGAGGAGCCAGAATTGGGAGACGCTGTCTCTACAAAAGATATAAACGAGATTCTGGGAACGTGGGAGAAAATTGCAGAGTTCGTGGATAAAAATCATCCCGAAAAAGTTACAAGTGGTCGTGCATCGGTGTTCTTCAACGAAACTTGCCTTACATATTTCCGCAATATTCTGAAAGGGAGGAAGAAAAAAACCTCCTTGGACAGTTTTTTTAAACGATCTGCAGATTAAATGGAGCAAAGTGTGACGAAAAAAGCGGAGACCACTGACGACAATTAAGCGCTTCCGTAAACACTTCACTTTTTCCTGTTTTTACAGAATATGTATATATTTTTGTTACTTATAAATAAATGTTTCTTCTTTTAAATACATTTTTCTTATTTAAAAACACTTCAGCTAATTTCAATGGGGAAAATTGCTTTGACATACGAGCAAGATTACGGAACGAGTTACACTCGTATGTCGAGGTACCACTACAATATAAAACACCTTATCTTTTAACTGAACTAGTATTATGTATTTATTAAGCTTTAAAGGTGTTGAATGTCGAGGGCTTTAATTGAATTACATAGTTTATACAGTGAAAATTAAATAATACTAGACTATCAGTAATTTGTTTAGTTGTGAATTAAAATTAAATTAGATACTTGTACTTACTTGAGACTAATTATTAAAATAAATGTTTAAAGTGAACTCCACCTTGCATTAATACGACGAATCCAATTGTTAGTAATGCTATAGTTAACTAAATTATGTCGGAAAGTTTCTGCAAAATCAAAAATTTGTTCCCGTATTTCAGCTTCTGTTTCGATTTCATCTCGGTTATCATAAACTAACAATTTCAGATGCTCTCAAAAATAAAAAATCCAGTACATTGCATTCGAGACTTGTAGTAGCCACAGAATGGGTCCATTCCTACCAATTTAACGACGAGGATAAGAGATATCAAGAATATTTTTAATAGCTCTGGTAAAATGTGCTAGGGCTCCGTCGGCGTCGTAAAGAAACCACATTTCACGGCATGTTTGGAAAGGCATGTCTTCAAGAAGTACCGGCAAAACATTTTGTAAGAAATTATAGTAGGCCTCTCCATTTAGTGTTCTGTGTAATTCATATGGCCCTATCAAACGATTGTTAATTATTCCAGCCCTTAAATTTATGGTAAATTTTCTACGCAGTTGAAAATTTGTTCTACGCATGGACGTATAAACATAGATGGACACAGCAATAAGATACCTTTAACACACAATGTTTTGAAGCTTCGATAGAATGTGATGCTTCCGCGATGAGCATAAGCGTGCTTGAATTTTTACTCGCGGGTAATTATTCAGATTTTAAAAATTGGAAGTAGTAATAATGTATAAAAACATGTTCAAAGAATTTAAAAAAACGAGAGTTTAACTATTAACAAATAACGTCTTTATAGAAAAATTAAAATACAATTTTATTTTCTTTAAAATTAATACAATTAAATATAGTTGAATTCAAGTTAATTTATTAATAGTATCAAAATAATGCTACAATAAAAAATCTTTATGTTTTCTCTTTAATTTGCTACCCAAATAGTTCGATCGTCAATATTATTTGGAAACCTACATAGAAAAATAAATGAGTTTTATTCATTTCACTAATTTATTTGTATCCATGAGAAATATTAAATTAAAAAGGTACTAAACAGATCTTTTTTAATCAGATGATGTCTACTTACAATTTATAAATGTCTACAATTTTAATGAACTCATATCTTATTCAATACGGATAAACCCAATGGTACGCCTATTAAAATGTAAACGAACACGCTTCCTCATTTCCTCATCTTAAATAATGTAAATTGTATGTACTTACAAATGAAATGAGAGATCGGGATGTAAATATTTCGTTTATTTTATTTCACTTTTCACAAATATCACTCAAAATACAGCCAAAATATCGAAAAATAACTTTTTCCTCATTTACTCTAAAAAGTAAACAAACATGGAACAGCATTTGAAGTTTGACGTAGATCCATAAGACAGAGAAATGTAAACAACCGTTGCCATTTATAAATAGTTTTCAGTGCTTCTACATATAAAATAATTGATTGATATCTATTATACGCTATTATTAAATGATAATGCACACTATGTGCACACTTGATATTTTGATTACAATTAAATATATTAATCGAACCAATAAATTATTATTTTGGTTTGATAGCACCTGTAGAGTATAAAATACGGAGTGATATTTTCAGCGACTCGCGAATAAGAAATTTTGAAACAAAACGTGAAAACAGCGCAAGGTGCTGAGAATGTGACCTATTCAAATAATTTTGACTTCACAATTTTATGTAAATAACTGAGTCCATCTGTGTTTATACGTCCATGGTTCTACGTATTAAATAATGGTTCTCGTCACTCCATATATGGTAATTATGAAAATTATACACACCGTTTCTCGTGAAACATGCCTCATCCGCACATAACACTTTACATGGATTCAGGATCTCTGACGAGTGTATCTTGTACTCTTTGATAGTGGTAAGGATGTAGAAGTTGTTCCCTAAATTTTCTATGAATAACGTTCAAAAATATCTGTTTGAGTTTCTACTTCTACTTCTAAAAGTTGTGACTGTCTACGTTTAGATTTAGATTTTCGTACTGCAAGTAGTTGACAAACTACATGCAATACAACATACAAACTACTTTGGTCAAAGCGTTGAATGTAGAAAAAAATGACTTATTTTGCTCAAAATGGTGCCCTCTACTTATACCTTTAAGGAACGCACTATATTCGGGGACCCTGTATAATTTATTTACATATAGTTAAGAAAATAATAGTAAAAACTCGGATAGTTAAATACGGATATATAAAATATAAACTCGGATATATAAAATAAGTTGTATCAAATTTGCAAACAAAAACAAATGTTTGCCAAAGCGAACTACTTCGTTTTATTGGTAGCTCGTGGGAAAAGAACTGTCAAGTCATACATATATTTAAATCTGTCTTTTTCTAAACAAAAATAGGTACAGACATAATCAGAAGACTTAAAACATTTTAACTAGATATAGTACCTTCTTAGTAGTAATATTAATGGATATAATTTAATACTTTGTAGAGAAACGGTTTAAATGTCTTACTTCAAAGTTGCTGATGATTTTGTTCCATAGATTTGTCGACCATATAGCTTTATACATTTGGTTCCCCTTGGGATTAAAAATAATCCATTTTGCATCGGGTTCCTCAAGTCTTACTGTAAATAAAAACATCTATTTTTTTCTTTATAACTTTTAATATGATACAATGTTAATTATCAAGAAATGTATTTTAACTTATTTGTAATATTTCTGAAGTAGATAGTAGACTCAATTTTAATACAGTACCTAAATAATGAAAATACTCGAGGAGAGGAAAGATATAATAATTTACTCTGAGACCTTATCAATCTATACCATCGTAACTTAAAGAAATACATATTCTTCAATGAATTTAAGAAAACAAAAACCAAATTATAAGAAGAAAACTTAACTTTTAGTACACCTTTATCCCTTGATTGCGATTTGCTATACTGTCAAGACAATCGGCATGAATTGAAGAGCTCAGGGCAATAAGGAACCTAGGCCACAACTTTTGAAATTTAAAGATTTACCCAATCAGGCAAGTTTTACGGCTATTGTGCAATGTATGTCGCCACCAGGCTATAACGACCTTGTTGCCCATTTGCAAAAACATGAAAATTTTTTAAGCAAGAATCTCATAAGCCACAATAAAATCGACATGGTAACACTTAATCGAAGAGTATTGATAGAAAAATAGGTATTTTATAAGGAAAACAACAGTAGTTCGTGTTCGGATTTTGGCGTTCTGTAAATGATCTAGAATATTTTCCTCATACGAGTTCCAGTGAAAGTAATAAATCTTGTGTTAAATTTTTTCATCTAAACAATCGCACGACTACAAAGCCCGCAAGTGGCGGGCTAGTCTTATAGTAGAACCTCTAAAGCTGGATTTATAGTTTGACGGACTGTAGACGCAGACGCACTGGAAAAAGATCAACATAGACTTTTGTGTACTCCTATTTATAAATGAACGTAAACGCAAGACGGGACGTAAGCGAAACGCACTGTAACGGAAGAGTTGGTCAACTTTCAACTTTTACAGTGCGTTTCTTACGTCTGACCAATCAAAAGAAAGAATGGGTTATGTTCATTGCACCAATATTGAAATACGCCAAAAATTGATCTGGATCTTCTGTCTTCATCTTTAAAAAATAATTATAAGCATTCTCTATTTTTCTATTACGGTTTATTGGTCTTGTTTTATAACGTCTTGGTCGCCTTATTATTGTCCTTCTAGTTTTTTGCAATGCTACTGCACACAGCACAGCAGCAATCCTACAGCGCCAAGGAGCATACCTTCGTATATTTCACAATCCATTCTAACACGCAAAAAGGATAAAAAAAAATATTATAATAAACAATAGTATAAACACACACCCTTTGTTTATTATGAATTCTGATTCCTATAATTGTATAATTTATAGGTTATATTGAATGTTGTGGGTCACCAATTCTTGTCTTTACTCACTATAAATCACGATCTCAGTTTTTCTAGTCTGTATTAGGATTACTACATTGCATGGTGTAAAGACCGTAATATTATTCCTGTTAAAGAGGATCGGTCCCGAAGAAATTTTAACTAACACTACAATGTGGTACAACATGGGGTTGAAGATGACCAAAAGCGATACATGTTCAGCCTGTGATTTACTACATCTGATGATAAGCTCAAATAAGGATAATGAATCTAAGGCTAAAAATCTTCAAGTAAAATTAGTCCTACATCAAACTCGCGCTCAGGCAATGCAGCAATACCTTAAAAAAAATGAAGAAATTCACACCTCCGACATGATTTCACTTGACTTTTAACACATACCTTACCCACACCTTCATTGGCTGTTAAAGTAGCATTTTACCTTAGAAAAGGATGGACTAGTAATCTTGGCATACACGATCGTGTACATGGGTAAGGTCATATGTTAACGTGAACAGTCTTCACGTGCAAAAAAAGGACGTTCCGAAATTGCTAATAAGGTCTGAAGTTGTCTTTACTGATAACTGAGGGGGCCAAAACAAGAATAGCCAAAACCATAGAACATCGTTTTCTCGTAACTAGATACACTAATAATTTGCCTTTAGATCAAGATTTTGATTTATAGAAAAACATAAAAAATATATCAAGCAATGGTTTTTGCCAGAAGAATGATTTGAAATTGTGAGAAAATCAAACAGATAAAATTCTTTTGCAGTAGTTGAAATTTCTCGAGAAGATTTTTGTAGTTTTGGTGAGAAAGTTATAAGAAAAAAGACGTTTACCTCCGAGAAACAACCACTCAACTTTATAGGCGTACGCTGTTTTTATAGGACTTAAGACCCAGATAGATATAATGAGAAATAGCTTCTTTCAATTTTATTATTTTTAGTAGAATATTTGTTACTTACATTCATCCATTTCTCTGTGAAACCATATACGTTTTGACTCATTAGAATTATCAGTTTGGTAACTGATTGGAATCGTCCATTTAGTAGAACTAGAAAAATGAAAAAAAAATATTAAATGGAATCAATCAAATTATAAAGGAGTTGTAACTGACACGTAATCAATCGCCGACAAGTTCAATCAAAAATACCACCAGAAGCGGTGAAACTCATTGGCAGTATGGAGCCGACGTGGCTTTTGGAAGACATGAACGCACTGCTTGAAACTCAGCTATTTCCGGCAAATTGGAAGATCTCGAGACTCGTGCTACTCCTAAAGGGGGAAGACAAGTATCGAATTGTTTGCGTTTTGTCGTGTATAGGTAAATTATATAAGAGGCTTCTAAGACGAATAGACACAGTGATTAAGGAAAGGAGTCAGGCGAGCTGTCAACCAGTACGGTTGCAGAAAGGAAACAGGAGCACGGTGGATGCGCTGATGGAAGTCTTCCGTGAGTTGCGTGGGGTGGAGGTTAACCAGAGGTGGGAAATCCTACTGTTGTTTTGACGTCCGGAACACTTTCAACATACTAAAATAGAAAAAGGTTATAAACGCTTTACGAGAGAGAAGGTGTCCGAGGTACTTGATGAATTTGGTCTCCGACTATCTGTCAGAGAGGAAAATTGTGGTAGAAAAAGGAGTAGTGGTGGTAGACGTGACAACTGGAGTGCCACAGAGGTCGGTCCTAGGACCCACGCTGTCGAACTTGGCATATGACGGGGTTGTGAACCAACAATACGGAGAGGGTGTAACCCCTTTCGCATTTGTGGACGACCTGCAATGCATGAGCTACAATTGGCGCGGGTAAGATCGAGGTTATAGTTTTAAAGTGACTAAGAAACAGGGACGGGATAACATTCGAAAATACAGGAGAGTGGATCCAAAAAAATGCGTGAGGTATTTAGGGGTGACTCTGAGTCAAAACGGAAAATGGGGGGAACATATAAAGGCGGTGACTCAAAGAGCTGCGGTGAGATCCGCCGCGTTGGGGATCATGCCCAACATCGGTGGGGCCAAAAATTGAGAGGAGGAGGGGAAAAACATTCTGTTATTAAATCGATCGTCCTCTACGCTGCGCCTGTCTGGAGTACTGCAGTTTTAACAAAGGCGTACAGAAAGCAGCTCACCCAAGCAGATAAGAAGAGTCTATTGAGCGTGGCATGTGCATACAGAACAGTCTCTGCCGCCGAGGCGTTGGGCGTTATCACCGGGTGTATTCCGATGCACGTGCTGGTGAAAGAAAAAGGAAGAATATATGAGAGAAAAAATGAAGACATAGCAATATAATGTTTGAAAAAAGAAGAAATGGTGAGGTCTATAATGGTGTGACAAGAGGAACGGGACAAGATGAGAATAATCTTGATGAGATTCAAAATCTGAGAAGATGGATGGACTGCGGGCACCGGCGTTTGGATTACTTCCTGACGCAGATGGAAACCTCAATTGGGTTAACCTCCTGGATATCCCAAAGTAACCTTCTGGCTAACCAAAAGTAATCTTCTGTACCTTTTGACCCCAAATATAACACATCATGTGTCTATGTCCTGAAGGAACTACATACCAGGTTCTACGACTTTACATTCTCTCTATCTGGAGGTATCAGTAACTGTGATGACCTTTGACTTATTAACTCCGAATTGTACCCTTGTAAACCTTTGTTATATTAATGTTCCATGAAAATCGTCGATGGCAATAGAAAATATATTCTATGCCGTTTGTCATGTGGGACATAACCATTATTTGTAAAATCATGTATGTCGACCTTTGGGAAATAGATATAAATTATATTAACATTGATAAGTCTTCAATATATTAAGGTGGCAACGAGGTAAATACATTAAAATGACAGAAGCATCGACAACAATTTATAGAGGTAACATTGGCTTCATGGGAGAATACAGGTTATGCAAAGATTTGACCATGTGGGAAGAGCGTCTAGCATAGTATTTTTATGCAAACTATTTGCAAAGAATATATACGCATATATGCGTCTATATATGCGTATATATTCTTTGCTATGTGGAAGAGGATAAAAAGGTATCAGTTTTGTTAACGTTAATAGGCGAACAAGCATACAAAACATTACGGGATATTTGTGATTCGGTAAAACCCAAAAATAAAACTGATCCAGAAATTTGTGATATCCTAAGAAATCAGTTCACAAGAAGAAAATCTGTATTTAAAGAGAGGATTTGGGCAATGATTGGTTTAATGCAATGAACATAACCAAACATATTAGTGACATCTGAATAGTAAATCTAGCGTTAAAAAAGTAAGCAACGCTGAATCAATCATATGTAACACAAGTACATCGAGTTAAGGGAGTGAAAAGAAGACCTGAAAGCCAGTTTAAGCAGGTGATAAAAGAAGGCACAACAGAACATAGAGTTAGATATAGATATTATAGACGAGATAACCATTATTTTGTAATGTGCTGATATAGTTCCTTTCGCTGTAGGGTATGTAATACGGTAGGTCATTTAGACCAAGTTTGTCCCCAGAATACAAATAATTTTGTATCGGTAGTTACACAGTCAAGGCGAGCCTCTAAAGGAAGAAATGGAGGAAACAGGGTCAGAAATACTAGATTTTATTGAAATGTATTGTGTGAGCAATGAATATGTTAAGCCACCTAAAGTAGAATTAATTATAAATAATTAATGGGGTTGGACTCTGGAGCAGATATGTCGGTAATGCTAAAACAAATTTTCATGGATAAATTTGATATTAACACAATAAATCCAACACAAATTAGGTTAAAATTCTATGATTATGATGTTTCAATAATTAAACAAGGTGGATTTTTAGCTAAAGTTAAATATGGGGATAAGGTACATGATTGCAAATTTGTTGTTGTTAAAAATGATACAACTTTGTTACTAGGCAATGATCTGATGAAACTTTTTGATTTACAAGTAGTATCTGATAAAGACCTACATATATAAAATAGAAATATATGATTTAATTAAACTCCCTAGGAGCTATGAAGGTTAATTTGCAGATAAGTTAGGATGTTATAAGTATGAAAATATTAAACTAAAGGCTGAAGCGGGGGTTAAACGTGTGTTTTTCATCCAAGACAAGTGCCTCTTCTTTTTAAGAAGCAAGTTAATAAAAAAATAGACGAATTAGTAGAAAAGGAAGTAATTTCTTTAGTAGATAATTCTGATTGTGGTATGCCACTTGTGAATATCATAAAAGAGAATGGGCAAATTCGCTTATGTGCAGACTACAAGATAACAATATATAGATTTTTAGAGGACTTTAAACATCCTTTACCGCGAATCGAAGAACTTTTTGTGTCGCTCCAAGGTGAAGAGTCTTTCACAAAACAAGATTTGAAGAATGCATATAACCAATTAGAAGTGAGTGATGAAACGAAATTCTTGTTATCTTGGAGTACTCATATGGGTATTTATAAACTTATAGGTTCCCCTAAGGCACCAAACCAGCATGTCAGAATCATATGCAAGTATCGGTCCTATTAAGGCTGATTTATAAACTTTACGTTGGCGTTGGCGCTGGCGCTGACGTTCGCGTTACAACATGGTCAAATGTAAAACTCGTATGTCTATTTATAAACATCGTTCGCCGTTGGCGTCGGCGTTCGGTTCCGTTCAAGATGAACCAACTTTATCTTTTGCCGTTGGCCGTTGTAGCACAAAATACACAAACCCTTCTGTGGTTGTAGTCACGATCTCAGAACATAAAATAAAACTGTACCTTTGTCATCGCAGCCAATAGCAATATCGAAACAGTGACAAAGTTTGTCAAACAAATCAAACAAAATTATTTGTTTACCACGTGTTTATAAAGTGGAAAAGTTTAGATAATAACAAGCCTCTCTTCAACAGAAATTCCATCAGAGCGACAGTTTACATTTATTTTTGGTTTTAGCATTTGTAGTAATTTTTCAAATACCAGTTTTTCATATTTTTATAATAATTAAAATTATCTATTGTCTTTCTGTTCTGGTTAATGGGCCTCAGTTTGTATCGACAGTGCTGCTCGAATACAAAGTATCAGTGCCACTGCACCTAACAAAGGCCGAGCATTTTCCATTGTATTAATTTTCAAGCAAAAATTAATAATACCAAATCAAAAATGTAAGGCAAGAAATTAAGATGTGATCTTTAACGCCAACGCCAACCGAAAGTTTATAAATGCAGTGTATGATAGCTAGCGCCAAGGTCAACGGCGAACGCCAGCGCCAACGTAAAGTTTATAAATCGGCCTTTAAGGTTTTTATATATTTGGCATTTTATTTTTCTTCGACGTTATCTGATCTTAGTTGCCTAATTAAGCCATAGTAACATTCATTGGCAATAATTATTCGTCACTTCACTTTGCAACCTTGTTATCAGACGTAACTAGGAAACCTAAGTATGTAAAGGCTACTATTTTTGAAATTGCGATTATGTAGCAAATCGACACTTTTATGAATGGACCACAGGAGTGAGGACGTAGATTTTATTGACATCTGTCAGTTTCACTTTCCAAACAAACCTGTGTGGATAATTTGTATTTTTAGTTATTTTTTCATTTATTTTATAGAATCTTTCCGCTTTTTGCAATCTTTAAGTATTCTAATAGTTACTACAACAATTTTACATGGTTGTGTAAATAATAAAGCACATTGTTTTATGCTAATAGCAATAAAATGCATGTATCAATAAAGTAAGGTTAGAATTTCATTAATTTAAACTTTTAAACTATATTTCATAGAAATAGAACTCTGAATTATGATGGTATTATCGTAAAAAACACTATGCTTACAAGAAAAAGCAGCAGAGGAAGCAAAACGTTAACTTTATAGAAATTAAAAAGTCTTGAGATTGGACATTTAAACTTTTGTTTGGAAAGTAATAATGACAATCTGACAGTTGTGACGTTACACTCCTGCGTCCATTAGTGTTTCTTGGGTATTTATGGTATTAACTGTTGCGTCTCTTATTATTTTTTCGAGAATGGTATTAGAATAAATTACTATTACCCAGCAGAATTGTAAGATGACCAACAAAACAAAGGATGCTAAAGGTTACAATCATAAAACATAAAAGAATGGAAAAAATTTAAAAGTAGAAGATGTAGAAGAATAATTAAAAAACGAAAATAATTTTTATCTTTTGAATAAAAAATGCTTGGAAAACCAGAGAAAGATACTTACCTAATTGGTTCTTGCTGAACCGTCTCACAAATTTGTTGTGTTACAACGTACGTCGAGTTATCTACAATATCGACGTTGAGAACTGGAAATTTATTTTGGTACAAATAACTCTCCAAAAATGTTCTTAGAGGTATATCTGACACTACTTCTTCTACGACTGTAATAAAATCATTCGTAGTGGCTGTATGATAGGCGTGTTTCTTTAAAAACTTCCTTATTATTTCTCTGAATTTTTCATGACCAATTTGATCCTCCAACATTAAAAGAATTGCTGAAGCCTGAAAACGTGAATTTATAAGAAATGTTCAATAAAAAACAGAAATAAATAGTTAAGATTTACCACTACTTCAAACTGTCCACTTTCTATAGATCCTCATACTATTTCTATCTACTATGGACTTTCTATAGTGGACAATAATATCCAAACGAAAATAAATAATTAAGTATTGTACATATATAATATGTACCAAAATAATTTTTTTCGTATACCACTGACATTCCAGAAACAAGATCGGCTATTGTTACTATGTTACATAGCTACTTTGGATGCAAATTTATTTATAGACTTCATGCTTATTATATTATATCGATGTTTATTGTATTTAATTTTATAATCAACTTATCGCATAATAACTAAATGAAATTTTCGCACATTGAAAAATTTGAACACTGTTGCGTTCTTTTAGCTTTAGTGTAGTTTGTAAACAACTCACCAAGCACCGCCACTCATCCTTAACAGGACCATCTTACCTTTTCGTACACGAGACCGTTAAAAACGTCAGCAATTTTACTTTGTTCTGGTAAATATTGAACGATTGGCTGGCTCTTTTCATAAATTTCTGTTTCAAAAAATTCGTTAAAGTTATAAGACTTCATCTCACCAAGCTGAAAAATAAAACGTTTTGGATTAATCGATCAAAACAACAAAAACATTCATTATTTCTCTATTTCACTGACACGAATTTTGTTGATTTTAACACATTCAATAAAGTACGAAAGTCAATATATTACATAGGGGAGATGTGGGATGGTTGATCCCTGTTTTAGTGTTAAAAGATTATTTCAGACCATAATAGTTATTTTCTTAATTTCATTAAACAAGTTCATAATGTGGTTATCTCCTTCCATTGTGTGTTCACCTAGAATATCTTGTAGAACAAATAAGGTAGATCAGTTCTTGTAAAACACTAGTGCGGTTCAAGAACCCCTGCCCATGAGGGATTCTTGATCTCCGTGGGGGGCTACTTGATCCCTGGGATACAGTATCCCACTTATAATACATATCATAAGTAATTATTGCCAATTATGAAAGGTAATTAAATTAAACAATGAAACAAATGAAACTACATACCTACTTTATTAAATAAAATCATAAAATACAAAAATACCTAAATTGAGCCAAAAAAGGACAATTATTTAGAAAATATTAGCATCAAATCTAGGTTAAATTATATAATGTCATTTGTACGTCTGTCCGGTCCACTTCGCTAACGTCCTCTACTGTTCCGAACGAACAAAGGGTTCCAAAAACTTTAGAAGCAAGCAGAGAAAGTCATCCATCCATTGGGATATGTCGTTGCATTGCTGCCAGGAGGTGCATGGCTTAGAAACCTGTCCTGCCAGTTTTTTTCTGGAAAATATCATGAAAGGAGGCATGTGACCCCCTGCAGAATTGATGCCAGCACACACCGTAACCAGTTCGCCTCGTTCTGCAGATGTAATTTTGCCCACCTGCTTTGAACATTTCACAGCAATTATTTTAACAGGTTTGTATGCTGGAGTGAGGCCAGTTTTGTTAATATTCCATATACGTTCAGGAGGAAACTGGTACCGTGCATAAACATTTGTTAATTGATTAAAGAATGTACCAACTGCGTGACGATTAAAAGCTGAGCTTCGTGCCAAGCTTGTGGTTTCTGGTGTTCTTAATGACAGCGAAGGGTTTCTATCAAGAAAACCTCGGTACCAGTCGTGGCCAGCTTGCTTTGTTTTTTCCAGGCAGGGTGATATTTGTTGCAGAATAGGAGTATGCTAATTTGCGCAATTGCACCACAGTAAGACCGTAATACATCTTGGACATATATTTCGAAAACATGCCCCCAAGGATACAGGGATCAAGTATGCCCTATTTAATAGGATCAACTATCCCTAGCCCGCTTAGCTATCTGACCGACACAAAATAAAATAATCTTGATTAAAATGTCAAGCATGTTCTGAAGTAGCAGCCATTTATCAAAACAAAGTAAACAGTATGGCCTCTGCCCAAGTGGGTAAACAGAACAGTAATAGGATATCATTGGGCGCCAAATTTAAATGGGAATCAAGTATCCCAGCGGAATCAACTATCCGACTTCTCTCCTATGTATAACAGTGGATTAAATCAGTGTGAAATATAAACTGTATAAGAAGAAAATAATGTATCTTCTATAGATTTTCAGGTATTAGCATAGCATATGGTAAGAATTTATATAACTACGATATGAACAATAATGACGTTACATCAGAAACGAGACCTGACACAGTCAGAATACAGAGGCTATTGGAGATAGTTGAAATGAGAATACTTAAAAGAATTTTAGAAACTACACTAAGTTGTCAAATAAGAAGTGTAGATATCAGAAGAAAATGTAATGTACAGGGAATAAATGGATGGATACTGAACAGAAATAAAACAGAATGGAATAATGAATAGATATGTTCCAATGTTGTATGTTGCCATACTGGCTAACAAGGAACCAATTACAGAACGACAGAAAAATTATTAACCAAAGAACAAACATAATGTTATTGCTTATGAATCAATTATTTTTATTTCTTAGATATATTTACCTGAGTATTATTATTGTCTCGTGCTGATAATTTATAGCTCATATAAGTTGCAAATCCTTCTTGTAGCCAGATATCATTCCACCATGCGTTTGTTACTGAAATAATTATCAACATTACATACATATTTTGCTGTTTAATTATTATATTAAAAGAAGAGATAATGATTAGCACTTTTTAGCCATAGTTCATGACAACATTAAAGATAGGCCATTAGGTACAATATATACATATATATATATATATATATATATATATATAATATATATATATATATATATATATATATATATATATATATATATATGACATAACGAGAAGTCAAGAGACGATAGCGCATCTCCATGGCGCAGTCCTCTGTTGGTTTTAAATGGTTTTGAAACATCCCCTTGTACGCTGACTTTACATTCGACTTTCATCATTGTCATTTTAATAAATTCTAGCAAATCTTTTGGTATTCCTAATTCGATTATCGCCGAATATAATTGGGATCTGTCAATAGTATCGTACGCTGCCTTAAAGTCTACGAAGATGTAATGGCAGTCTATGTCGTACTCCGTCGTTTTTTTCTAATATTTGTCTGATGGATATGTGATCAATGGTAGATTTGTTTTTCAAGAAGCCTCTTTGCTAGGATCCTATTATATTGTCAGTATACCGTGCCAGTCATTCGTTAAGTACCAGGGACACAATTTTGTATGCTGTATTAAGAAGGGAAATCCCTCTAAAGTTGGAATATTCAAGAACGTTTCCTTTTTTGTGTATGGGGCATATAATTCCAATATTCCAATCTTCTGGTAACGCGGGTTCTTGCCATACGTGTATTAGTAGTTTGTGAAGGAGGGTTACAAATGTTTGACCGCCACATTTAAATATTTCTGCGGGTAGGTTGTCTGCTCCGGGTGACTTGTTTCTGGATAGAGACTGAATTGCTTTGTTTGTGACGTAGAGAAAGACGTTTAAATGAAAGTAAAATATTGCAATCTTTTACTTTCATTTAAACGTCTTTCTCTACGTAAAGAGCGAAAAAGATGGTAATTTTCAAAGGTGAATCGTAGATGCATGTCGAAGTAAAAGTATACTTCTAGCGTCGTTAAAAGCCTATAACAAGAAGCTTTGAATTTGCGGTTCACCTAATTTGCTATCAGAGAGGTCTCTCGACTTCTTGTCATTTCATATATATATATATATATATATATATATATATATATATATAAATATATGAAAGTAAAAGATTGCATTTCATTTCGATCGGAACTCGATACTATTGACAGGTCCCAATTATATTCGGCGATAATCGAATTAGGAATACCAAAAGATTTGCTAGAATTTATTAAAATGACAATGATGAAAGTCGAATGTAAAGTGAGCGTACAAGGGGATGTTTCAAAACCATTTAAAACCAACAGAGGACTGCGCCATGGAGATGGGCTATCGTGCACGCTGTTTAACCTAGCGTTAGAAAAAGGTATGAGAGATTCGGGAATAAACTTAAAAGGTACGATATATACCCGTAGTATACAAATAATGGCATACGCTGATGATATCGTCATAATTGGAAGAACCCAAAATGAAGCAGTGGAGGCTTTCACACGTATCAAAAATGCCGCAGAAAACATCGGACTTCTGATTAACATCCAGAAAACTAAATATATGTCGGCCACATCAAGAATTCAACAAAATAACTTAGAGGTGCAACACGAAACTATAGAAATGATAGAAGAATTCTGCTACTTAGGATCACTGGTAGACTACAAAAATAACACATCCAACGAGATAAAAAAAAAAGAATATGCGTGGCTAACCGCTGTTATTTTGGCCTGGGCCCTCAACTAAGAGCGAGAAGTATGTCAATAGCAACAAAGTGCAAACTTTATAAAACAATAATACGCCCAGTGCTCACATACGGATCGGAAACATGAACAATGACGACCCGAGATGAAGAGTTACTACGAGTCTTTGAAAGAAAAGTATTAAGGACCATATATGGCGGAGTAAACGAACAGGGTCTGTGGAGAAAGCGATATAACTTTGAACTCTATAGACTTTTTGGTGATGCAGATATTGTGAGGACCATCAAAATAAACCGCCTAAGGTGGGTGGGCCACGTTATGCGGATGAATGAGAGTGATCCCACTAAAATAACTATGCTAAACAGACCGGTCGTAAGAAGAAGAAGGGGGCGACCTAAACTCAGATATCTGGACGATGTACAGGAAGATCTGAGGGAGATTGGAGTGAGGGGCTGGAGAAGACAGACACTCGATAGGGAAGGATGGAAGAATGTTTTGAAGCAGGCCAAGGTTCACGAAGGGCTATAGCGCCAACTGATGATGACGATCTACCAGTCAGAACAGCCCCAGTTATTACAGATCAATTGAATCGAGGCAGTTCTGCATTAGACTGAGACTGTTTTCTAAAAGTATTTCCCAAAAGTTTGTTTATGTATATGATCCAGTGTACAAACCGTAGGCTTGAAATTTTAGAAGAGAAAAAGAAGAAAACTTTCGTTTTCTTCTTTTTTTAGTGCAATATAAGATATTCGTAGTGCAATATCAAGGTATAGGTTCCAACTACTATTATTAAAATTGTATTTTGCCAAACCCAATAAACCTGTCACCGCAAATAAAACTTATTATATAGATGATATTATTTCTTGCTTGAAGACAAGTTTTATGAGAGCTAGAAGTAATTCTACCTATCAAGTAATTGATGAGTCTATAGCAAAGGGCGATCTACATTGAAACAGTATTTGCTCCTCAAATCCATAAAACGTAGCATAAAGTTATGGACCAGATACGATTCGGAAACTGGCTATGTTTACGATATAAATGTGTATGCATGTAATATACCTGCATACACATTTATGACAGGTACTTTGGGAGAACGTGTCGTAAATCAGTTTCTTATCTTTCTTATCCCAGTTTCTTATCAGACATTGTTGTTATCTTCAACAATTTTTAACGAAAATGTTGTAATTTGCTTCGACAGTTTTTTTTACAACAGTTCATCTTATGGATACTATTATGTTTCCTGCAGTCGGTACATGTATAAGTACCCGAAAAAATTTACCCAAATTTCATGGCAAGCTAAATCGAGGAAAATCGCAAGTAAAATGTAATGAAACTGGAACATTAGCTATACGATGGCAGGACACAATAGATTTTATTGTACTAACTGCCATAAGCCAGAAGATACAACTGTGTGCAAAAAACTGAAAGATGGTACAAAAGTCAACATTTGTTGTCCTGTATCGATTGAATTCTATAACCTGATGGTGTAGATAGGTGTGATCAAATGTCGTCTGTATTAGATCTCAATAGAAAATCCCAAAATGGTGGAAGAAGGTTTACTATAAAGTTCTAATGATGGCAGTATACAATTCATATATTCTATATACTGAGTTACATACCAGAAATAAGAGAATACCCTTTCTAAATTATCTGGTTGACTTAGCTAAGATTCTTATCAGTACTGGCCGACAAGGACTCCAAGGAAGAAACAAAACATGTTGGCCGTCAAAGCATGTCAGCCACAGTGATGAGTAATGTTGGCGATTATTTACCTATATATAGAAAATAAAGTCACTCGAGGTATATAAGGTATACACAACATAACAACATAAGAAAGATAAACGTACCAAATTTATTTGTAAAATGTGTAATGTTTCGTTATGTAGCCATTGTTTTGCCCCATATCATGTATAAACATTTATCGTTTATCTATCTGGATATATATGCGGATACTTGGGATATATAATCCCATGCATTATTAAAAAAATAATAAAAAATTTTAATAAAATAATTTTAAATGCTCTAGAACAACAAATTACAGACAAATATATCAAATTTAAAAATAAACAAATCAGGAGTGAAAGGGTTAAATTTTGCAATGGATTGTGTATTTTATTATCTTTTATTTTGTGATATTGACGATTTATGTAATTTTAGTAAATTTTAAATTTGTTATTGTTATTTTTCTGACTTTTTATAAGCTTTGTCCATAAAATTGTATATTTTTTCATTGACAATAAAGCATATTTCTATAAACACTCGATAGCATCTGTAAAGCGTACCCACGATCCGACATAAAATCAGACCACAATCCGTTTAGCGGCAAAAAATGAAACTTATATTAACGTCACCTTCACGTGGTACTTCTATTACACCACTAACGAGGCTCTGACGACCATGTGACTATTGGTATACGTAGTCCCTCATTTATTAGTCAGCAGCTACAGTTGGATGAATTGACAAGTAGCAAGGTAACTCATTATCCTGGGATTGAGAAGTAGGTCCCCAAAGCGGAAGAACTAATGAATTAGTCAACGGCATTGGGGTATGGGAGGCAGAGAAAAACCACTATATTATTAAATATCAAAAAAATATCTTTGATATAATCATCACCACATGAAATGTTATTAAAGAGTTTTTCATATGGTTCCAATTTACTAGGTAATATGACTATATTATTTTCTCATCAGATAGTAAGAACATAACTTACCCAAATTACCAAACCAAAAATGACTTAGTTCGTGGAACGCCACCAGTTTTATCTGAAATTTGCTGTAAATATGCAATGGCGTAGTAAGAAGACCCTGCCTAAAAGTAATTAAACCCCAATTTTCTGTAGCTGCACTTTCCTCTCGTTTGTATTCAATCATATCTAAAAATCGAAATTAAATAAGAATATATAAAGGTTGTGTTCGACATTGAATTAATGAGGTAAATATTATCCATGCTGCTAATAATTGGTGTGATAGTATAACATTCCTCTACCCATACCTAAAAGTACACGGGGCGAGTTTATAAGCTAAGAAGCCGGTGTAGGGGATGTAAGTTAAATATTATTTGAATTTCACGTTGTGTATTAATACAAAAACAAATCACTTAAACTAAACTGTATTGTAGAAAAAAAAGCACATTTAAAATATTTTATAAACGAGAAATTTAAAAATAGCGTTCTTATCCTAGCGCTGATGCGATGAGACTCTTTGGGTCGACCTTCTTCTGTCTGCAACTACCAAGAGCTCCTCTAGAGGGGTGTAAAATGACGGTTGGGTATCACTTAACTGAAAGTGTATTATACGGGGCTACTCGAAAGTTTTAACATTAAGCCGCCTCCCTTGAACGCCTACAGGGGTTCAACAAGTAATAGAGTTGTGTTAAAATTTTCTTTCACTGTTTGTTTCACTGAAACTTAAGTCATCGATCTATGGGTAGGACGCACACCTTTGTCATTGGTTGCTTGAAACAACCTCTGTTATTTTTAATTATCACTGCACGAACTATTCCGTCACTACTCACATGTAATTCAGGCACCATCTTAAGGGTTCAGTTCCATCTTTCTTCACCGTCACTAGATTTCCAATTCTGAGAAGGCTGTTGAAATGTTTTTTCCACTTAACTCGCTGCTGGAGGGATGAAATGTATTTCTTGGACCACCTAGTCCAATAACCTTGGATCATTTTTTGAAGCCTTTGGAATCTGCTAAGGCTGTTTTATTTGACATCTAAGAAATTTCGTTCAAGTATTGCGGTCAAGTGCCCAAAACAGAGCACAATGGTCAAAAATGAGGGAGGCCTATGTCCAGCAGTGGACGCAAAGGGCTGGGTGATGATGATGATGATGATGATTAGGGTCGTTAGACATTGGCGAGAGTGGTCGTGAGTTTAGGCAAGCTTCAATTTGACATAAAACATGAAAAATTCTTCATATGAAAGAATTGTATTGCCAATGACATGCTTTAGGTGACATTTGACAGATTTTACTCTCGCCTCCCAAATTCCTCCAAAGTAAGGTGATTGTGGCGGAATAAACTGCCAATTGCGCCAACGAAGGTACTACCATTGCCCGAAAGGATGGAAGCGCATTTTCCGCGTTGAGAAATAAAGCGTTTTAGCGTTGCTAGAAAACTTTCCGTGGTCAAGCTGTTCATGACTTTTAAAATGTATGGCCATAGTTGCTAAACAGATGAATAGAGCTATGTAACCCTTGATAGTTTTGATAGTGAACAAGACGTGACGAGGGTAAATTACTCATAAGATAGGTTTCTAATTTAGGAGCCACCCTACAATAGATAATACAATCGTAAACGATTTTGCGAACCACTTGACGTCCATTAATGGGCCGCAAAATTTTTCACGAATGGAAGCTAATAGTAATTGAGGACCGCAATGATTTAAGGTAAGATGCTCATTTCGTACAAGAATACAGTGGAACCTCGATTATGCGTCTCTCTATTAACCGTCACCTCTGTTAACCGTCAGGGTTCATACATAAGTTATATTGACAACATAAGTAAAAATTTAGTCATCAATTCATTTTGTTTGCAAAAAAATTTCCACCAAAGCCGATTATCATTTTGGACAATGCACCAGCCCATCCTAAAGCCGGTATGCGGCGGAGTGGCGATTCAAATATCACGTACTCTATTCGGCCTGCGAATACATCGTTGATACAACCAATGGATCATTCGATCATTAACACATTCAAAAGAAGATACAGGAAAAAATTTATTCAAAACCTAGTTATGGAAGAGTGATATTCTTTGCCAGAATGCTGAAAAGCATACAATTTAAAACACGCAATCGACAATGCTGTGGATGATTGGGCTGATGTTTCGGAAGTAACACTGAAAAGAGCCTGGAATAAATTATGGCTTGAATCAAGTTAAGATGAAAATGCTCCCCTTAAACGAAGTTATGGCTAAATCAACTGTTTTGTTTTCGTTGCTTAAAGATGACATAAACGATTGGTTAATTTGTGATGAGGACGCAAACGGCTATCGATTACTGACAGATGATAAAATCGTTGAAATGGCAACAGAGGCGGACGAAACTGATTCAGAGGCTGACTTTGATGGTGGCGATGTTGATGATGATATTACAACTCACATTGATTTTTATGAAGAAGCTAGAGGAGCTGCATCGCACATACAACAATTCATCAAGTAGTATTCTCGGCAAAAAATAGCAAATGAGGTAGATTTAATGATTTTACGTTGATTAAGAAATTCAGCCGTTGCAAAATGTGAAGTAACAATAAAACAAACAAAGATTTCGGAATAATTTAAATAAAAATTAATTCGACTGTACTAACATAAATCCCTCTTATATTGTCAAGAAAAATTTGAGAGTTATACTATGATTTTTTTTTAATGTTCTGTTAACCGTCTCTTCGATTATCCGTCATACCCTTGGTCCGGTGCCCTGACGGATAATCGAGGTTCCACTGTAGTAGTAAAGTGGTGTTTAGAATCAAGGACAATGGGATGTTTTTTATCGTAACAAAAATCAGAATTATGCAGTCTTCCACCAAAGCGGAGTATGTTATCCTTATCGATAAACGGATTGAGGGTAAGTAGTTTGAGAAACTCTGTTTGCCACAAACGTGTTTAACAAAGTCAGAAGTGTCTTAATACATCCTAGAACAATAGTGAAGTCGCACCAGTAAGTAATTTCTTCGAAATCTAATTGCATGTGTCGTTTTACCTTGTCTATCAACTCAGCTAGCAAGTAAGTTCTAGGTGCGGTATCGTGAAGATGTGTTTTAAAAGAGTTGCTCTGGATTTGGAGCAAAGTAGATGACAACGAAAATTTTCGAAGTTTTCAGGTGAACGAATATAAATTCAAGCACCATATGCAGTAGTGGATGCATCTGAAAAACTATGTAGTTGATTTGAGTTGTAGTTTGTACAAATTACATGCCTAGAAATTTGTAACTGATTAAGTTTAACCAGTTGAGTCTGATATGTAACCCATTTCGTAAATATATCCATGGGAACGACTTCATCCCCGGAAATTTTTAATTTCCACAAATCTTGGAGAATAATTTTAGCTGTTATAGTTACAGCCGAAAGCAAACCTCGTGGATCAAATATTTTCGATATAGTGGAAAGAATAAGTCTCTATGTAACTTAACACTTGTGCTCTATAGCTTGAACATTTAAATGAAAAGTGTCAGCTCCACAATAAGCCCACAGTTTTTATAGTATCGTCAGCTCCAAGCTACAATTTCCAAGTAAAAATTATTTTGATTGTCTTTGATTTGATTGTTTTTAAACAAAGTTTAAAACAGATGCGTTTGACTTCCATTTTCTCAATTGGAAATCATGACGAGACAATAATTCGTAAGTAAGTGATTGAATGCGTTTGATATCTTTTATTGTAGATCCAGAAACACCTGTGTGAAGATCGTCGACATAAAAGTCTCGTAAAATTATAGAAGATATGTCGGGAAAATCGGTTGCATACATATGTGCCACTTCTTGAAGTTTTCTAGTGGCAAGATAACTAGCAGAAGCAGTACCGTAAGTTACGGTGTTTAAAGTATAAGTATCGAGTGAGTTTGTATGATCAGATTGTCATATGATCTTTTGTAAGGAGCGTTCTTTCCCCTTTATCAGTATTTGTCGATACATCTTTTCTATGTCGGCTGTTAGTACAAGACTATGTTTACGAAAACGTGAGATGATCGTGAAAATATCATCTTGTCAATTAGGTCCAACCATAAGAATGTTGTTCAGGAAAACACCTGTATCTGTATTGGCAGAACCGTCAAAAACAACACGAATTTTATTGCCTTTATAGACACAATGATGAGGAAGAAAGAACTCAGATCCTATGGTTTCAAAGGGTGAAACGGAGATATGGTGTAAGGATAAATATTCATCGATAAATCGAGTGTAATCATCTTTTAATTCAAAATTCGCATTAAGATTAAGGTTATTTTCGAGAGAATAAAATCTTTTTGTTGCTGTAGTGTTAGAGTCGTCTAGATTATCGACGGAAGATTTCAAGGCAAGTGATACTACAAACCTACGAGAAGAATTAAGAGAGGTTGTTTTTAAGAAGTGATCTTTACAAGAAAGTTCTTCGTTAGACAACAATTTTGTAATTTCCCAAAATTTTTAAAGTTGATCTTCAATGCTCAAATTGTTTATGGTCGACAAATGGCATGCAGTTCTGGCTGCAAGGGTGTTGTTGGGAAATCATGGACCTGAGATAATCCATCCGAGTTTGGTTTTTTGAAGAATCAGTTGTCCAGGTGATAATTTAATCTGACCAATACAAATTAACTTTCAGAAGATGTCTGCACCGATAAGAAGATCAACAGGAGATGAAATATTGAAATCTGGGTCTGACAGAGTAATATTAGAAGAATATTAAGAGTTTTCTTATCAAATGTGACAGAACGTAAATATTCTGCAATTTCCGGAAGTATTAAGCAAGTAATTACTTGCGAAAAGTTTTGAATTTAAATTTTACTGATGTTCATCTGTAGCTTACAATAGAATTTGTTTGGTTTATACCAGAAATAGAGAAATGTGTTTTGGTTGTAGGTAACCTTAAAAGATTTAATAGGCGCTGGAAAATGAAATTACTTTCCGTGTTGTTATCAAAAAGCGCACCAGTCTCGTATTTGTTACCTGAGATATCAAATACGTTTATTTTTACAGTTGACAGCAAAGTAGTATAGTTGTGCTCAAACGAAATGCTACGTGCTGACAGTGCAGTAGAGTCTTCTGATGTACCTGGACTTGAGCAAGGTAAACTGCCGATGGTTTGATTACTGGTTTCAATAAGTTTTTGTGAGTTACCTTGAAAGTGTAAAAGTGTGTGGTGTATTTTCCTACATTTACGACACCCGCAAGATTCACATTCCTTAGTGAAATTACCACTACACAGATAATCTATGCAAAGTCGTAAGCTTTTTGCTTCATTATGTCTTAATGACGTTTCTAATTTGAGAAATTCAGGACAAGTGTAAATTAGATGTTTCTGTTTGCATAAAGAAGATTTGGAAGAATTATTAGTTGACAAGAAATTCTTGGACTTGGGATTGTCTGTAGATGGGAAGTTGGGACGAGATTTTTTTTCTTGATTGATTTTTTCTTGATGATTAATAGATTCTAAGACTCTACATTTGTCTTTTAGAAATTCAGTTAAGTTACTCAAAGTGGGTAATGTGATCTTGTCGTCTTTAATTGACAGTTCTTATTCTTTGTGTGTCTATGGTGTCTAGTTTTGTGGTGATTATGTCTTTGGAAACCATCAAGTAAAGTACGTAAATCATGATGTGAATTTTTTAAAACATTTGGTAAGTTAAATAATTATTTAATACGATTACAAGAAGAGATTTGTTTTCGAATCTGTCTTTTAGTAATTTCGATGCAGTTTCATATGTTGCCTCAGAAATGTCCAGGTTCGGTATTGTTTCTGCGGCAATACCTTGTAAGGATAATCTTAGATAATGGAATTTCTGAATGCTGAAAAGTTCCGTGTTGGTATGTATCATAGAATTAAATCATAATCACCCTCAAAGGAGGGCAAGTTGATAGCGGGTAACCTAATGTTAATAGACCCTTGTGAACTGTTTTCGGACGAAATTGTCGAATTTGAAGCTTGAGCAGCTTGACCACGGGGTTTTGAAAGATTGGTGTCAATAAAGTCTCGCACAGCGCTAGTGATATGTAAAAACGGTGTTTCGAAAGACAACCTTTCTATGCCATAAGTGATTGAACGTCGTCAAAATCATCAAAAAGTTTCTCAATTTTATCAAGTCTAATTGTAAATCTCTAAAGTTACTTTGCTATTAAGGTTTGTTTTTGACATAATTAAAATACGTACTAAAACGAGTTACAGAACCTTTGATTGAGGAGCGTTTAGTTTTTGTTGTAGTGATGTCAGCCATATTGACAATATAATTTTATATGTTTACGTTTTAATTTTGGCGACCACTCGCGCTAATTTCATAAAACCCAACAAAGGCATGCGGTTACCATGGAAACGATACGCAGCAACTAGAATTATCATCATCAACTAGCCTCTAACGTCCACTGCTGAACATAGGCCTCTCGCATGCTTTTCCACTTTGTCCGATTTTGCGCCATCTGAATCCAATTTGTAGTCACTCTTTTTATGTCATCTGTTCATCTTGTTGGGGGTCGACCTCTATTTCTGTAAGCTTATATTCGGGGTCTCCATTCCAAAATTCTTTTTGTCCACCGGTCATCAACTGATATTGCTACATGACCTGCCAGTTCCAGTTTAGTGTTGTTATCCTTTCAATAACGTCGGCTACTCTTGATCTTTTGCGTATAGTAACGTGCGTACTCCATTGCCCTTTCTGCAACTTATAGTTTACTCACTGTTGTTCTTGTGAGTGTTAGGATTTCTGCGCCGTAGGTCATCACTGGCAAAATACACTGATTAAATACTTTTCTTTTCAGACACATTGGAATCTTAGACCTAAAAACATCCTTCATCTTTCCAAATGCAGCCCAAGCGAGGTTTATTCTTCTTTTCAGCTCGATTGTTTGGTTGTCTCGACTTATTCTGATCTCATGGCTCAAGTATTTATAGGAGTCAACTGGATCAATATCTTTGTCTTCTACTGAGATGTTTATATTGTGGACTAAATTTGTCATAAATTGTGTTTTTGAAAAATTTATTTTAAGACCATCTCTTTTTGTGGCAGTATGGAGTTCTTGGAGTATTATCTGTGCCTGATCAAAGCTGTCTGCAATAAGAACGATATCATCTGCAAATTTAAGGTTATTTAAAAATTTTCCATCTACATTGATGCCCTTTTCGTTCCAATATATTGTTTTACAAGCGTATTCTAGCAAAGTTGTAAATAATTTAGGAGACATGTTGTGTCTTTGCCGAACGCCTCTTTCAATACGAAAGGTACCAGTATCTTCGTTAAGTCTTACACAGGCTGTAGCATGCTGATAGATGTTATGTTAGAGCTTAGAGCAAGTCGACAAAGACAAGTATCAGGGGTCTATTATATTCAATGGTTTTTTCAATTAACGACTTAATGGTTTGCAGATGATCATTTGTTCCGTATCCAGCTCTAAATCCTGCTTTTTCGCAAGGTTGATAGAAGTCTAGTTTTGATGTCAACCTATTAGTAACTAGAATAATTGTGAATATCTTACACGCAGCCAGAAATAACACGATTCTCATATGGTTTGCATTCAACATTTTGTAAAACAAGTAAAGTTTTGATTATTTTTATAATAATACCAATGATAACTGCAAAAACTGAAAGATATTTTCCTACTTTGAAGTTGATCAAGATGTTCTAACGTATACAATATCAAAAGAAAGATTAACGGTGCTTGCCTTGTTCGACCTTGTTGGATCGACAAAATTTTAGTTGGAGAAATTTCTAACTTCAACGAAAAAGTAATGGAAATATTTATATCCGATAAAAACAGAAGGATTGAGTTTTATTCTAAGAAGTAGGCTTTTGGTATTTACTTATTTACTCTTTTGTATTCTCGAGTCAGCACCCTCCTGAACAAAATTATCACCAGCCGCCACTGCTGATAAATATATATTTTATTCGAAATGTAATGTTAAAACTATTAATACTGATTTGTATTCATTATAATATATTTAATAACTTGTTAAAATAGTTTATACTTACCTAATTTTGGTAGTGGATAGCTAATATCGGTATAATCCGAATAAAATGTCAATGCAGTTTTGACACATTGTATAGCAAATTCGTTATTTTCTTTACTAGCGTTGACCGTGAATATTCTTATTGGTATCTGTCTTCCTTGATATTCAAAAATTTCACTGTAGTTAGGAAAATTAGTAAAAGCAAAAGATACCAGGTATGTCGACATCGGAACCGAGGGTGCAAATTCATGGACAATTCCATACGAGGTACGGAATTTATTCTAGAATCAATTTGAAATCTGTTAGTTTCGTAGCGTCCTTTATTGAGTCTTATATAGTTTATTGATATAGGTATATTATTTGTTGTATTAAGAGGTTATAGTTTGTAGTTTAAATTATTTATCCCAAAAATTTTGTCTATACCTGCGGCAAATACTATCTTACCCGAAAAATAAGGGGTTATATTTTAGTTGCTTTTGACCTCATTTAGTTGATTGTCCTTTTGAGAAGTAAATTTATTTGTGTGGAAACATATAAGGAGATAGAAATAATTGGAGACTTTTGATATATAATGCATAATTCGTGCTGCATATAAATTTGAACTTGTCTAATAATTCGGAATGTTTTTTTTCAAATTTATATTTATATTATATAAATAAAAAAAGTATAATAATAAATTGTAGTTGAAATTCAATAGGATATGGACGTGCAGTACATTAAGGGAGGTACAAGGCTCCAGCTATTGACAACGTACCCTCTGAACTATATAGACAAATTATAAACAAATCGTGGGAATACGACATTGACGTCCATAACATATTTATAGATTTTTAAAGACAATTAATAGACACTAGTTATATCAAATCGGACCCGGAAAATTACAGAGGAATCAATTTATTAAACACAGCACTAAAATTAACAACCAAAGTGAATTAAATTATAACACCAGCAGAAGAACAACAAGGTTTTAGGCCGGGAAGATCATTCACCGACGCTATATTTATAATGAGGCAAGTGCAAGAGAAATCATTAGAATACAACAAACCAGCATATCTATGTTTCGTGGACCTTAGGAAGGCATTTGACCGGGTCAAATTATAAGACGTTATCCACTTGCTGCATGCAAGAGAGATACCCCTAGGAATAATCAAAACGATCGAAAATATCTACCAAAACAACACAATAAAAGTAAAAGTAGAAGAAGAACTAACCGACCCTATTGAAGCTGGAAATTGGATAAGACAGGGGGATTCCCTGAGTCCTCTATTGTTCAACCTGATTATGGATGAAATAATAAAAAAAGTAGGAACAAAAAAAGGATACCAAATTGGAGAAAAACAACTTAAAATAATCTGCTATGCACACAACGCAATACTACTCGCTCAAAGTGAAGATGATTTACAACGTATGCTGCATCAATTTAATATAATAGCCAAAAAATTTAACATGTTAATTTCCCCAACCATGCATGGTTACAACAGCAAATTTACTAAGATGTAAATTGGAGCTGGAAGGTCAGATAATAGAACAAGTGATGGAGGTTAAATATCTAGGCATCACATTATCTAGCTACGGAAAGCTCTAAGCCGAAGTGGAAGATCAAGTGAATAAAGCAAACAGAGCCGCAGGCTGCCTAAATGAAACAATATGGAGAAATAAAAATATCGGGAAAGAAACGAAAGGCAGAATTTACAAAACAGTCTTCAGACCAATAAATGACATACGCGGCAGAAACAAGACCTGACACAGAGAGGACAAAAAGGATGTTAGAAACAGCAGAGATGAAAACACTTAAAAAAATTGATGATAAGACACTTTGGGACAGAGCTAAAAGTACAGATATACGACATAGATGCAAGGTGGAGAACATCAAAAACTGGGTAAGAAATAGAAGAGTAGAATGGAACGATCATATAAGCCGAATGACAACAAATAGAGTAGTAAAAACGGCAAGAGACAGTTCCCCAATAGGAAGACGATCAGTAGGAAGACCACGAAAACAATGGAATGACAACTTACTGGAAGCACATTGAAAAACAGACAGAGTCATGTCTATATAAAAAGAAAAAGAAGAAGAGGTTATATCAAATATTGCACGGCTAAAACATTTCCCAAAAATATATCAGACGAGTAAAAGCAACAATGGACTAGTTAACAGCAACTTACAGAATACAAAATGAGCTTATTGACAACTTTCGTAGAGTCAAAGGATTAAAGGAAGAAGACACATTGTTTAACCTGTCTCGAATATGTAATAAAACAGTTAAATATAGGAAGACCTAATCTCCTAAGAAATAAATTAATACAGATTACCGTTTATGCCGATGACATCACCAATATGTCTCACAGAACGGAAGAAACAGCAAAAATGCATTCACAATTAAAAACACAGCGGACTGGAAGTATATGTTCAAAAGACAAAAATCTAATAGAGGCAAGAGCTAGGGGAAACAAACGCACAGTTGAATCATTGGACGATATTAACCCTAGATTACTGGACTTGTTTAGCCGCACGTGATTACCGGACTATCGTAAATTTTACTACCTATAAAAAATGCCTTGTAATTACAAAACGTATATTCAAAATCTAAACAGGAGAGTTTTTATCACTATAATAACATATTTTAAATGAATAAAAAATAGAATTGGTTACTATTTTAAATACTCGGTGCAAATTTTTCTACGATGCTCACCGCATATTGCATGCTTGCATATTTGGCAATATGTAGTTGTCATTCACCGTTTTTGGCTTGGACAATAAAAGCAAATTTTTATTTTTCTTTCTTGATATGTGGGAACTTCTTCTGCAGCAGATATCTTTAAAATGTGAGCTATATCGTGACAAATATTTCGACGCAAAGTAGCGGTTGCGAATCTTCATCTCATCCATGGTTTGGAAAGAGACTGGCTCAAATCAACCCTATACTGGTACCGAGAAACGGGCTTTTTACCTCTTTTTAATGTGTTGTATGTGTAAATGACATAGGAATTAATACTGGTTATATTAACCATATCATAAAATACACACAATGGCCATCTTCGAGTTTTCCTGTTACAGCTCATGTTGGAACACATTTGGTCAAAAGTATCTACGCCTGATTTCGTGTTATTGTAATTTTTTATAATTACAGACTTGCCTGTTTCTTCTGATACTTCTGCCGTTTCGTGCAAAGTTGAAATCAGTAAAACTAATTTCTGTTTTTTTAGGGACGTAAGATAACAAAGTTTTTTTTCTGATCAAAACAGAACATCGAAAAGTTTGCATTTCGATCTTTTAGTGCCAACATCTCTGTGGGTATTTCTTTTTTGTTTTTGCGAAGAGTACCTAATACTGTTAATTTATATGGCTCTTGTAACAGTTCATCAACTAGTTTCACTGATGTAAACCAGTTGTCCATGGTTACGTTCCGATTTGATCCATGGACAGATTTTGTTAGTTCTTTGACATAATGTTCTGCTAATGGCAAACCATTGGTATTAGTTTTCTTTCTCAAATAGGGACTTGCATCCAATATATTTACTGAAGGAATCACATAACATAACAATCTTAATCCGGTACTATGAAGGTTTATTGGGGATGTACAACCTGAGAGGGCATCTTCCCCGGAATCCTAGCAGTTGCTCATCAATTGTAAGATATTATGATGGAGTATATGAAGTGCGCCATATTTCAATAAAAATATTACATATTTCGCGGATATGAGTGAAAGGATCATTTACTTGCCTTGTTTGCTTTTCGTCAAATCTTATACAATTTAGAAGAAATGTAAAACAATTACAACTCATACACGCTCTGTAAAACGTTCCTGAAATGGAGGTGTTAAACATATATTTTGCATATAAATGGTTATCTTGTTTGCGGCAGAAAGGACAAAAATTGCAAGTAAGGCTCTTAATTCTTCAATTGATATTTGAGACACATTTTTATGATTAATATGTTTCTCAGTTTGTCTCACAATTTCTGCATTTGTATGTTTCAAAATAATTTCCAGTAGCGTGTTTGGAAAGAAATGTAAGAAGTATTCATTAAAAGTATTACAGTTTTTAGCGGTACCGTTGGGACCTGACACGAAGTGAATAAGATTCCTTGCAGATGTCCTTCTTGATTTATGGGAAACTTCGGTCCACCACTTATGACCATTCTTACCCTTAAAACTTTTTTTTGTTGGGACTACTACATACTTTGATTTTCCAGATATCGACATAGAAACTTTTTCAATATCCTAAATGGCATCTTGCCCTGTCGGATCATCAGAATAAGGAGAATCAAATCTTCGACAGCTTCATTATCCAGTATGAAGATTCTATCTCCAGATTATCTTCTTCCCAGTCGCTGCCACTGTCTTCGAAGGGATCTGACTTAAAGTCTTAACCATTCAAAATACGCGCAGCCTCTTCTTCCATTTCTTTTTCTGTCAGTGGCCTTTTGGAATCCATTTTACTGAAATCCAAAATATATTGTTCTGAAGCTATTTCCTTGGGGCATCTTATGTAATTTACTATTTTAGTTAGGAATAAAGCCACAATGGTAGTTTGAAATTAATTTATTTGACGTTTCAACTTCCACTTCGGAAATCGTTATCAAAATACCGATTACAAAAAACGATTTCCAAAGTGGAAGTCGAAACGTCAAATAAATTAATTTCAAACTAAAATTTTGGCTGTATTCCCAAATAAAATAGTAAATTCCAAAATTTAAATTTAATACAAGAATACAAAATAAAATAATGAGCTAACAACTTACCTCTATAAAATTTATTCGAAGGCGATGGAAATAGCAAAAAAAATGTACACCTACTAATAAAACTATCGTAGATACAGGAGCTTCGTAAAATTGACAACGGCGTGAAAACTATATTGTAGAAATTTTAAATGATACAACTGCACACGACACTATCTAGTTAACGACAAATAGACGGTTCACGACAATGCTTTAGTTCTATCCAAATTTTGCGCCACCTGGGGATGGATATCTGAACTATTTCTAATGGCGGGGAATTTAAACGAAATTCTAAACGGGGAATTTCAAATATTAAACCGCGAAATTTAAATTGTAAATAAAGCGGGAAATTTAAAACTTTTATACAGATTTAGTAGATGATCTCCGATTTTCATGAAATTTGGTATATTTGCGTATTTTTAGCTGCAGATCACGAACATAAATATAAAACATTTTTGGGGGAAATGGATAGTTTTTGAGTTAGTGTATTTTCGTAGTATCTTTCACTTTAATTGCGTCAAGTGCTTCTTTAAACACGCTGTGTATAACATACTTCCTTCT